AGGTCTGTTGATGTGAAGGATCAAAAAATACATGGTTTGAAGAGTCATGATCATCATGTTATAATGCACCAATTACTCCCGCTTGCGATACGAAGGGTTTTGCCTAGACCACTTACTCTTGTTTTGCTTGAGTTAAGTGCAATCTTTAGACGGTTGTGCAGTAAGAAAGAATCTGAAGCATCATTCAAGCATTTGGAATATAGAATTGCATTGACCGTATGTTATTTGGAGAAAATGCTCCCTCCTTCATTCTTTGATATAACGGTTCACTTACTAGTTCATCTCGCCCACGAGGCTGCTATTGCTGAACCAGTCCAATATCGATGGATGTATCCCATTGAAAGGTAAAACACAAAAAAAAATTATTGAACTTTTTGCTTCTAAATTTTACTTGCCTTCTATAACTCAGTTAATGCTTTTTTCCTCTCTAAAGGTATTTACAAACATTGAAACGATATGTTCGAAATAAAAATTATCCGGAAGGAAGCATTTGCATAGGATATCTTGCAGACGAGGCTTTGGCATTTTGCTCCATGTACTTATCAGACATTGAGACTCGTCGTACTCGTCGTGGTCGTAATGCCGATGTTTCTACCCCTCGTGAAGGCTTGTCAATCTTTGCATACTCAGGTCGTTGTGTGGGTAAAGCCACACAAGTAGATCTTGAAAGAAGTGTATGGGAGCAATGTCGCAAATATATTTTGTTCAATTGCACCGAAGTCTATCCATTTCTAGAGTGAGATATTTTATTAGATGTTTAGCTTTTTTTTTGGTATGTCTAGTTCATTAAGTGAATTTTAAGTTCGTACTTATCTGTTATGGTTAACTTTAATAGAAAAATGATGGCGGAGTTGCGCAAAATCCACCGACGAAAAACTGTTCGAGAAGTAGAGAATTTGAGAAATAAGGAATTTCCTACTTGGTTCCAGAACCATGTAAGCTACAACTTCGTAGTTATACAATTATCATTTTTTGTACCACACTTTTTTGTAATATATAATTGACTTTGTTAATTATTGCCTCAGGTGAATGATTTGCATGCAAAAGGCGATTCTTCCGCAACGGAAGATTTACGTCGACTTGCTAATGGTCCTAATATGACTGTGAAGCAATATAAAACATGCATTGTTAATGGTTGCAGATTCCGGATTAAATCAATTGATGACAACCATAAAAATCAAAATTGTGGAGTCTTTGTTTCTGCACAAACTTCAAGTTATTCTAGTGTGAGGGACAACAATCCGATTACCGGTAATGTTGACTACTATGGAGTTTTAAAGCAAGTTATTCTAGTGTGAGGGACAACAATCCGATTACCGGTAATGTTGACTACTATGGAGTTTTAAAGAATATTTACGAATGTGATTATGGTCCGGTAATGTTGACTACTATGGAGTTTTAAAGAATATTTACGAATGTGATTATGGTCTTCCTGGAGAGCCTGAAGGTCATGGATGTAAAGTGGTGTTATTTGATTGTGATTGGGTCAGCAACTCTGGGAAGAAGCTTGATAATTATGGTTTCACCTTAGTGAATTTTAAACACTTGGCACACAACAACGATACATTTATAATAGCTTCACAAGCTGTACAAGTGTTTTATGTTTGTGATCCAAAAGACATGGATTGGAATGTTGCTGTTAAATTAAGCCCGAGGGATTTCTTTGATGTCATGGAGAGTGATGATGGATCATCAAGTATGTCCAACCCATTAAATTCAGATGATTGTTATGCCGTACCAAATCTTGATGATCGGGCACTAGATGATGAAGAATTACAAGTTAGAACTGATATCCGTGGAACCTTTGTTAATAAGCAGTTACCACTACCAGTTGCTAATGATTCTGTAGGTAATGAGGAAGAGCTTGGGGATGATGATGAGGAAAACGAAGATGATGAAAGTGAGGACAGTGAAGAAGAATTGAATTAGTAGATTTTGTGATTGTATTATTAGTAGACTTGATTCTTTTGAAATTGCACTTGTTTCATTTGTTATTCATTGGATTTACTACTCATGCATTTTTTTTGAAAGTGTTTAGTTAATAAATTATTGAAAAACTTGTGAAGTTAGATTTGATAATTGATGTCATACTTTGTGTTTTGGATTTTTAACTATTTAGATGAGTAGAGTTGAGTATTCTGCTTCCAACGAAGAACACAATATAGAAGACAATACAGGAGAATTTGATGGCACTCATGATGATAATGGTACGTGTTTTCTTAAATTTTTCTCCTGAAGAAAACAGCTATGCATCTCTCTTTCAAATGGGATCCGTTTACGTTGCTTAACAAGAAAACACAAATAATTTTTGAACTTTTCTTTGCTAATGCCATTTCTCCCCATGCTATATTTTTTATGCTAGCAAATATCCGTTTGATGTTCCTCATCTTCTAACTTCATGTCATGTGTTATCTGGAAACCAAGTCTTCTTTCTGAGATTAGAATAGAAATGACAGGAGAAGCAGCTGCTACTGCTGCAGACAGCAGCTCAGAGAGCTGTCTGCAGAGCTGCTACTGCTGCAGACAGCAGCTCAGAGAGCTGTGTGAAAGGGAAGCACGCTCAATAAACTACTGTGTATCTCAGTTAATAGCTCCAAAATATCCATGTTCTCTTTATATATAACATATATGCAAGTCTAGGACAGAAAACAGTGGGGGCCAAAACTTTGGGGAAGTTAACCCATTATATACACCAGCCAGTCCTGGTGCAGTTCCATTAAGTAGTCTTATGGCCTGTTGCTCTGTTTTGTTGTAACTTAAATTTATGTATGTACCGAGAGTGTTTTTTGAATACATCTAATGCGTTCCTTCTGTTTTATTAGATGGCGCAGTTCCAAATCTGTTCACTCTGCAATTCTTCTTTTAGTTCTTGATTCATCTCAAAGATCCACTTAGTTTTCTCAGGCATGGCATTTGTATCAATACCTAAAGGCTACTATCTGATTCTCTGTGAAGTGCATGCCTTGTAAAGGTTCCCTTTGTTGACTTTCTAAGGCATGTGCCATTGCAACCGGCTATAGGTGAACAAAAATTGGTTCCTTGTGTGACATTGACGGTTTATTACAGCAAAGTATATGAATCCACTTTTTATCCAAATTATCAATGACATTTGTTCATTGTACTAGTGTGTGTGACTTCGAAATAGCCACATTCCTGCATTATATGTCAAATATGTAAATGTTCGCTTAATGTAGTCGTGTACCTATTAAACTACAGTACATATTTAATCGGAACTGTATCACAATATGATGACTACCACCACATTCATGATGAGGTAGTCAGCTGTTTTGGGATTAAGAATCAGAAATGACAGGATAGCACTGCTACTGCTGCAGACAGCAGCTCAAAAGAGCTGTTGCAGACAGCAGCTCAGAGAGCTGTCTGCAACAAGCAGCAGCTCTCTTTGAACTGCTGGACTGCAGTCGCTCTTTGAACTGCTGCTGGAGTCAGCAGTCTTTGAAATCTGCTGGCAGTCAGGCAGCTCAAAGCAAGCTGGCTGGCTTGGCAGCTGGCCTGCTGCCTGGCCAAAAGAGGGGAAAAGGGCAATTTGGGGACTACTTTTGGCTGCTTTCAAATGGTATAGTTGCAAATTTAAGGTACATCTTTGCTAATGGACAATTGAGCCCTTCAAAATATGTGCGTGAGCCCTCACAAGAATATATGTCGTATGACTCTTATATCACGCCAGTGAATTTATTTCACTGCAATATTGAGCGAAACACGGATGAGCTCAAAGATTTATCTGTATGCATGGTGGATTTTCTCTTGCGGCCCAGCAAAACTAAATGGTTAGAACAGACGAGAAGGCTAAAATATACAAGTCCATTTCTTAAACTTAATTGCTGCAGCAGCTCAAAGATGCTGCTGATGTTAGCAAGCAGGCCAGCAACTAGAGAGCTGTCTAACAGCATGCAGCTCTGAGCTGCTGCTGTGGGGCAGACAGCAGCAGCTCTGAGCTGCTGCTGCAGTCCTCTTGAGGCTGGCTGGCTGCAGTCAGCCAGCTGCAAAGAGCTACTGCTGCTTGCAAAAGGGGGAACAAAAAGGGAAAAGCCCCGGTCATCTGTCAATTAACGTACACCTACGCAATCAAGTCAATTACATAACATTCATATCCATTCTAAATGTATACATGTGTTTGGAAGGTCAATGACATCGTTTTGGATCTCGAACGAGAAATTTGCATAACATTGTCGACATATCAACCATAAATCCGGGTTTTACTATTTATTATCTATTTTATATGTTTATTAACTTTAGTGTATGCCAGGTCAAGCACGGCAAAAGAAAAGAAGCGGAGGTTATGAAATGCCAAAGTTGGGGAAAATCTGGCAAGAGTTATTGCATTCACAGAGGGATGGATTGTGCGTTGACCGCCAAGGATGCCCAGTTATCTAGGTACTTCTTAGGTAGCCTAAGGCAAAAAAATTCAAGTTCTTCCCTCAAGCTATTAGATTGGCGGTTGCATGAATGATACACCTGGATGCATGTGTGGAAAACAATATATGTATGATTTCTTGACACACTTTCAGCTTTAATAGTATGAAACATATAGTATAACACTTGTAAATGTATATAAACTTGTATCGAGTGCAGGATACCATAGACTTAGCGGCCTGAAGATGTCCCAATTAATTCCTAAAATCCGACTTAGTGAATGTGCAAAGATTGTCTGATAGGTGCAGACAACTATAAGGCAAGTTTAAAAGCTAAAGTATTACATACTCCTTATGGTTGGTTTGGGCACAGAACGATTCTTGTGTGGAGACTGATGCGTGTAAGATCGCGACGAATGGCGGGCATGGTTAAACTCATTGGACACTGATCCAAAAAATAATAGTAAGTACTACCCTTGCCCATAAATATACAACTTAATGATTTCAAATTAGGCATATATTTTTGTATTATGTTGTGCGCCTCTCAGTTAGATTTGAAAGAATATTGAAAAGCCGCATAGAGGCAAAAAATGAATCAGCACTGTGCACAAAGACTTCCACGACATCATGGCTGATTATGTAAGTTACCACAGCCCTTTTTTCTTTAGACTGTATGTGTTTCATAGAATTTGTCATGTTATTTTGTGTTTGGGGAGCATTGACATCAGATACTCAACTTATATATATTCCTTTTTAGTAGCAAACTCGATGTGGAAGTCAATAATCACATATCGTATCAATAAACAAAGTTCCTTTCTCTCACTCCCTTGCCTGGGATCCACTTAGTCAGTAATTAGTACCAAAACAAAGAATACACAGATAAAACTAGGCCTATGCCATTATATGAATGTCATTTAATACAAAAGCGTACAGAACATCCATCATAATAATTATGTAATATCTCACCAACATAGTACATAACCATCAGCCACCTGCACCCAGCCATAAAAAATGTGACATTTGTTCCTTGTGGGACCTGCGTAAAGCATTGTAGTGTGATAATAAGAAATTTACACACAATAATGATGCCCAAAAAAAGAGAGTACTCACAATTTTGGCTCTCTCCTGTCCATGCTATGATCATCAATTGCAAGGAATGAAACAGAAAACGAAAGTGCACCATTCAGCAGTGAAAGGGAAGCACGCTCAATAAACTACTGTGTATCTCAGTTAATAGCTCCAAAATATCCATGTTCTCTTTATATATAACATATATGCAAGTCTAGGACAGAAAACAGTGGGGGCCAAAACTTTGGGGAAGTTAACCCATTATATACACCAGCCAGTCCTGGTGCAGTTCCATTAAGTAGTCTTATGGCCTGTTGCTCTGTTTTGTTGTAACTTAAATTTATGTATGTACCGAGAGTGTTTTTTGAATACATCTAATGCGTTCCTTCTGTTTTATTAGATGGCGCAGTTCCAAATCTGTTCACTCTGCAATTCTTCTTTTAGTTCTTGATTCATCTCAAAGATCCACTTAGTTTTCTCAGGCATGGCATTTGTATCAATACCTAAAGGCTACTATCTGATTCTCTGTGAAGTGCATGCCTTGTAAAGGTTCCCTTTGTTGACTTTCTAAGGCATGTGCCATTGCAACCGGCTATAGGTGAACAAAAATTGGTTCCTTGTGTGACATTGACGGTTTATTACAGCAAAGTATATGAATCCACTTTTTATCCAAATTATCAATGACATTTGTTCATTGTACTAGTGTGTGTGACTTCGAAATAGCCACATTCCTGCATTATATGTCAAATATGTAAATGTTCGCTTAATGTAGTCGTGTACCTATTAAACTACAGTACATATTTAATCGGAACTGTATCACAATATGATGACTACCACCACATTCATGATGAGGTAGTCAGCTGTTTTGGGATTAAGAATCAGAAATGACAGGATAGCACTGCTACTGCTGCAGACAGCAGCTCAAAAGAGCTGTTGCAGACAGCAGCTCAGAGAGCTGTCTGCAACAAGCAGCAGCTCTCTTTGAACTGCTGGACTGCAGTCGCTCTTTGAACTGCTGCTGGAGTCAGCAGTCTTTGAAATCTGCTGGCAGTCAGGCAGCTCAAAGCAAGCTGGCTGGCTTGGCAGCTGGCCTGCTGCCTGGCCAAAAGAGGGGAAAAGGGCAATTTGGGGACTACTTTTGGCTGCTTTCAAATGGTATAGTTGCAAATTTAAGGTACATCTTTGCTAATGGACAATTGAGCCCTTCAAAATATGTGCGTGAGCCCTCACAAGAATATATGTCGTATGACTCTTATATCACGCCAGTGAATTTATTTCACTGCAATATTGAGCGAAACACGGATGAGCTCAAAGATTTATCTGTATGCATGGTGGATTTTCTCTTGCGGCCCAGCAAAACTAAATGGTTAGAACAGACGAGAAGGCTAAAATATACAAGTCCATTTCTTAAACTTAATTGCTGCAGCAGCTCAAAGATGCTGCTGATGTTAGCAAGCAGGCCAGCAACTAGAGAGCTGTCTAACAGCATGCAGCTCTGAGCTGCTGCTGTGGGGCAGACAGCAGCAGCTCTGAGCTGCTGCTGCAGTCCTCTTGAGGCTGGCTGGCTGCAGTCAGCCAGCTGCAAAGAGCTACTGCTGCTTGCAAAAGGGGGAACAAAAAGGGAAAAGCCCCGGTCATCTGTCAATTAACGTACACCTACGCAATCAAGTCAATTACATAACATTCATATCCATTCTAAATGTATACATGTGTTTGGAAGGTCAATGACATCGTTTTGGATCTCGAACGAGAAATTTGCATAACATTGTCGACATATCAACCATAAATCCGGGTTTTACTATTTATTATCTATTTTATATGTTTATTAACTTTAGTGTATGCCAGGTCAAGCACGGCAAAAGAAAAGAAGCGGAGGTTATGAAATGCCAAAGTTGGGGAAAATCTGGCAAGAGTTATTGCATTCACAGAGGGATGGATTGTGCGTTGACCGCCAAGGATGCCCAGTTATCTAGGTACTTCTTAGGTAGCCTAAGGCAAAAAAATTCAAGTTCTTCCCTCAAGCTATTAGATTGGCGGTTGCATGAATGATACACCTGGATGCATGTGTGGAAAACAATATATGTATGATTTCTTGACACACTTTCAGCTTTAATAGTATGAAACATATAGTATAACACTTGTAAATGTATATAAACTTGTATCGAGTGCAGGATACCATAGACTTAGCGGCCTGAAGATGTCCCAATTAATTCCTAAAATCCGACTTAGTGAATGTGCAAAGATTGTCTGATAGGTGCAGACAACTATAAGGCAAGTTTAAAAGCTAAAGTATTACATACTCCTTATGGTTGGTTTGGGCACAGAACGATTCTTGTGTGGAGACTGATGCGTGTAAGATCGCGACGAATGGCGGGCATGGTTAAACTCATTGGACACTGATCCAAAAAATAATAGTAAGTACTACCCTTGCCCATAAATATACAACTTAATGATTTCAAATTAGGCATATATTTTTGTATTATGTTGTGCGCCTCTCAGTTAGATTTGAAAGAATATTGAAAAGCCGCATAGAGGCAAAAAATGAATCAGCACTGTGCACAAAGACTTCCACGACATCATGGCTGATTATGTAAGTTACCACAGCCCTTTTTTCTTTAGACTGTATGTGTTTCATAGAATTTGTCATGTTATTTTGTGTTTGGGGAGCATTGACATCAGATACTCAACTTATATATATTCCTTTTTAGTAGCAAACTCGATGTGGAAGTCAATAATCACATATCGTATCAATAAACAAAGTTCCTTTCTCTCACTCCCTTGCCTGGGATCCACTTAGTCAGTAATTAGTACCAAAACAAAGAATACACAGATAAAACTAGGCCTATGCCATTATATGAATGTCATTTAATACAAAAGCGTACAGAACATCCATCATAATAATTATGTAATATCTCACCAACATAGTACATAACCATCAGCCACCTGCACCCAGCCATAAAAAATGTGACATTTGTTCCTTGTGGGACCTGCGTAAAGCATTGTAGTGTGATAATAAGAAATTTACACACAATAATGATGCCCAAAAAAAGAGAGTACTCACAATTTTGGCTCTCTCCTGTCCATGCTATGATCATCAATTGCAAGGAATGAAACAGAAAACGAAAGTGCACCATTCAGCAGAACCTGGAAAACACCGTATCAGTTATTCAATAAGGTACACAAATATACAACTGCTGTGTAAAACTTAAAGCTAAACAAGATCATTATTTGACAGCCTACCTGGTCACCAATTTTGAGAGGAACTATATCTTAGCTAGTTACATGAGGTCTTCCTGTCAACAGCAACTGACAAATTTAAATAATCTATAAATTATAGCATACCATCTATATTTAATTCTCTATTGTTCCTTTAAAAATGGGTGATTGCTTCAGTAGTCGGTGTTCATATTATATTAGTGGCAAATAAATTTTCTATTACTGGACAATAATTAATATGTTTGTTGAGAACTGAGTTTGTATAATGAATCAAACGAAAATTGGGGAATGTATATGTTAATAAATGAATCCATCATGCAGATTGGTATGTTTACATAACTAAACTTGCTTCTAAGCAAATTCTAGTTAATTATATGAATGTTTGATTTGTACTCCGCCACATGTATTTTGGGAGCTTTAAATTTACAATTGAAGGCCAAAGATCTAGAATTTTGATGTATAGCAACGTTATGGCTCCTATATCTCCTATTTATTAAGTTGGGAAAATTATTTGGTTCTTATAGACAACTGCTAAACATGTTTGCTTAAAGACGAAATATAAGGGTTTAAGAGAGTTACGATTTAAGGAAAAAACTTATCAACATCTAATAGAAACAGTTGTGGCGGCACAAACCTCAAGATGTATATTTTGTTTGAATTGCCTTTAAATCAAGAAGGTGAATTGCCTTTTTTGGATGATGTGATTTTGTTTTGATTATGCCTGGAGAACCATCCGGTACATTTTGTTCATGGAACTCATATTATGTTTATTTAAAGACGTGTTTATTCTGACATAGTTGATCTGCTCGGATACATCAAAAAATACGTGCGACTTGTCTGTGTCTAAAGACCCACACAATCACACATATCATTAGCAAAACATTATTCTGCTGCAATATTTCTGCTGGCCCCAGCTTTGTATGGGCATCTATGTCAGACATCCCTATGCCCTAGTTTCTCCCCTAGTTTCTGCATTTTTTGGTATATGTAGATTCTTGATGCATGGATACGAGACAACTACATGCCAATTGAGTCAAGATATTGACTGCTTTGTCCATGAAAGCCGATAACCATACCTCCTTCAATTGGTATTGTAAATGGAGTACCTTCTTCAATCCCATTATTCTATGTAGACCATTTAATGTCCATAACATTACATTTACTGTTGAAGTCTGCTTCTTTGAGATGTTGCTTCTTTAATTAAATAAAATTTATGATTGTTTTTCTGTGTTTTACAAATAGGAGAAAAAACATGGTCGCAAACCCGATCCTATTGAGATATTTTATATAGTGCACAAACGGCGAGATGAAAACAAAAGTTGGATAGATGATGCATCGGAGGAATTGGCGGTGAGTTTGAAATTTAATAATTTGTATTTAGCAAGTAATACATGTAAAAAAATTGTTTTACTTCATATTTTGTCCATTTTGGCTGTTGAAGTGAATTCTTTTTTCAGGTTAAGATCTCACGGGAATTAACGAGTTTGGTTGAAACCCATGGCGAGGAAACATCAGAACTAAGGCAACAAGCTTATGTAGCAGCAAGGGGTTTAGAGACTCGTGGTAGAGTTCGTGGTTATGGAAGAGGGGTGACGCCAGACATGATTCCTTGGGTGGCACAAACTCAGCCAACATCTTCATCACTTCGATCACGTACTGGGCGAGCATATGCTAATTTGCAATCTCAATATTCAGAACTTGAGGAAAAGTATGAGCGACAACAAAAGGAGTTGGATGAGTTGAAACTGATGATCACTTCAAGGAACGCACATCCGCATCAACAATCTTCCTCCCAACAACAGTCTAACTCCCAGCAGGGGTCTTCATCCCAACAACAGTCACATTACGAACAAATTCCGACATCTTGCCCATATCCACCATATCAGCATCGTCGTCCGCAATCTCCTTCCCAACAACACTCGCCTTCCCAGCACGCTCCGACATCGTACACATATCCTCCATATCAGCATCTTCCACCGTATCTGTATACATCATCTTCGCAGTTCTACTACCCCCATCCATACCAGCCACCTTTGTACCACCCAGTGCCACACCCACCTGGAGAGTTTACAGCAATGCTCAATGATTCAGATTTTATGCAGCAGATGATGCCACCAAATGATAGGAATGACAAGGATAAAAGTTAGATATTTTTACATTCATGTTGAAGGTCAATTTTGTTGGTTATTTAAGTTATTGTTAAGTACTATTTGTCACTCTTTTTAAGTAATTTTGGTACATTATTATGTAATCAAATTGGATTGACTTCTTATTAATCAAAATTATTCATGTTTCAATTATTTTATGTTTGTTTTTCAATTTAATTATATGAATTAAAAATTAATTATTTTTTCGGATTTATTAAAAAAATAAAATATTAATATCAAATTTAAGTTATTAGAGGCAATTATATTTGTACCTTAAATTAATACATTTATTTTAATTCTAACTATTTGGGGCAGTTACATCTGCATCTAATAAGTTATTAGAGGCAATTATATTTGTACCTTAAGTAAATATATTTATTATAATTCAAACTATTTGGGGCATTTATATCTGCATCTAATAAGTTATTAGAGGCAATTATATTTGCCTCTAATACTTTTTCAACTAAACCGGCTGACGTGGCGCATTGAGTATTTGGGGCGGAAGTTTGTGCAATATTGCCCCTAATAACTATTAGCAACACCACTTTTAGGTGCGGATACGAGTTTTGCCACTCATGTAATTAGAGGCATATAATTCCATTTATTTGCCTCTAATTGAATTAAAAGTGACGAAAATAATTGCCCCTAACTCTTCTTTTTTTTGTAGTGCACATTCAAACTCTTACAATCTACCCATATTTATAGCTTACAACAATAAATGAGAACCTTTGGATTTTTCTTGGAGAACAATAATTAAATCTCAGCTAGAAAAATATTTCTGGTGCGAACTAATCAGTTGACCAATTGGTTGACCTATAGGTTGACCAATCGGTTGGTCGACCGTTTGGTTTGCAACAGATTTGGTTTTTTGTTAATTTCTTAACCCGATTTCTTGGTGGATCCTTGAGTTTTCTTGAGCCTTCTTTTGTCTTCATATTTGGGCTTCAATTAATAGTAGAAAATTAGGGAAATAAATTTTTTTGGGCTTTTATTCACTAATTCTTTATTAACCTGTAAATTAAGATAAAATATGTTATTAGTGACATTTTTAAATAAAATAGACAATGATGGTATAAAAATATAATATAAATGTGATTATCAGTAGTGTAGATTATTATCTCTCTTTTCTTGCTTTTATAGTTTATATTTATTTTCTTTTTATACTTCATAGTTTAAATTTTAATTTCTTGCATTATAATTTCTAGTATGAGTAGCTAATCTCTTTAGGATTTCTAGGATTAGATGAAACTAGTTTAATGTTCTTTTAGTTTTTGAATTGCTCTTTGTTGTGCTTAAAATGGTCAGTTTAGGATAATCAGCTAGAGAACTACTTGGTAGAAAAAGAATCTGATATGCTATAGTTATCTTAAATGGTTTTATCGTTTATGTTTTCAATTCTATGGTTTTATCTAGTTATTTATTTCTTTTCACGAGTAGTAATATTTCTTGAAAATACTTTCATAGGTTATGCTTATTTTTAGTAATTTAATAGTCTATACTTAATAATTCTAAGTAATATGAGAATAAATAAAAAAAGTAATTCTTAAATCCAAATTAAAATTAACTAGTGGATTCAATCCAAAGATTACTAGTCTTCTCACTTGATTTCCTTCATTTTTTTGTTTGCTTCTTGTTTTGATTTAATTTTCTTTTATTTGTTCATCTATTTCTCTCATTCTTCCCTCTTGTTTTAGCCTTTTTTATTTGTGATAAATCCTCAACCCAGTCAACCTTTATACTATCATTCTTTCCAACGTTTCTATATACTATATATTGATTGTTTGGTACTTGTAATGTTTCATTTTTATTCACATCAACCTCCCCCAAATAATCATTTCATTGCCAAAACCTCCCTCTGGTTACTTATGAGAGCTAAACCCAATCAAATCTAATGAAAATATGTTTACTTCTTGTTATACCACTTTCTCATAAACATTAACATTTAAAATATTACCCACCCGGTTTATACTACGTTTATATTGATAATCCACAACTTGCAACCCATCAAACCCTTCTTATTCAATGGTAAATTCCCCCAAATCCAACCAAAGATGTTCTTTCAACCTTTTAGAGCCCCCAAAAAATTAGAGAAATAAACGGACTTTTCAGTTGGGGGGGGGGGGTGGGGGGGGGGGTGGGGGGGGGGGTAACCGTCCCTAGGGCAATTGGAGTAATTTCACAATTATATTAACGGCTTAACCCAACTGCGTAGTTAGAATTTGTAGACATAACACATTTGAGCAGAGGGATAAATTGACAATGAAATTGATGGTTTGGGGCAATGGTTTTTGCAAACACTGAGATTTGAGGCCGTTTTGACCCTTTAAAGATGATTAAGAGGCTTAAAATCGCAATTTCCCCAAAATGTTTGCGTTTTTTTTGATTGAGAACTAATTAATGATAGCAGTTTACACAGTAGTTAATTTAAAGTACATTGCAAAATTAAAATTGCTTACCCCTCACCCCACCGCCCCACCACCCCCCCACGCCCACCGCAGCACACACACCTCCGGCCGGCGCCATAAGAGCATCTCCAACAGCTTCCTCATTTCCCATTTTTGAAGAATTTAGTTAGGTTTTTGGTCCAACAGATTCCTCATCTCATTCCCCAAAATAGGGATGGAGTAGAAAAAATGGGGAAGCTTCCCCAAATCTGCAGCATTCTCCAAATTTTTGGAGGAAAAAATGGATTCTTCAAAATGGGGAAACTGTTAGAGTTGGTGTAAAAATAATTTGGAGAATATGACTTTTGCTTCTCCATTTTAGAGAAAATTTTAAAGAAGCTTTTGGAGATGCCCTAACATGTGGGTACCCCCGGCAAGGCGCCTAACAGGTGGGTATTGTGGCATAGGGATCAATCAGTATCTACGCCACTCTTGTCCTCAATATATCCTCGGGTATTGCGCTTCGTCTGTCCTACTCTGGTGGGGTCTCTAATACATTGATCTATCCAAGGTACTTTGTTTTGAAAAGGAATAATAATATTATTGTCCCACGAAAATATTCTAGTTTCTTCTAAGTTTTGTTTAGATGTTAACAATGCAAATGCCCAATATCATTCACTAGTCAATAATAACAAGAATGGCTTAGCATATTGTCATTTACAACTTTTTCACAATAATTAAATACACGAATCGCTAATTAGATGAGATGCTAAGTTCTTGAGTAACAAGAAAATACAATGAAGTAAACAAGAGACTGAGATTTGAGATATTCTAGTCCCAAGACTTAAAACTGGTGAAGTAGATAAGATATGCGACTGTTAGTCCCATCGGTGCCCAGCGCCCACATCATTCAAACGTCAGTGATAAAAAGAATGCACTAATTCGCATATTATCACATACAATCTCTTCACAATAAGTACGCACATGCATGAATAACAAATGTTCACTGATCGATCACGCCAGAAGCCAGAAGTTTTTGTGCCTCCTGGTTGTAATTAGATACCCACCACCACCTCTTCTGCTCTTCTTCCTCACCGCTAGAGTCATGCAGCTAGCATTCTTTATGCAGTACTCAGTCACTGCTCTTCTTGCTCTGTTCTTCCGACGGCGGGCCCACATCGTCATCATCAGCCGCCACGCCATCGACCGCTTCTTCTGCCCCAGGACCAAGAGGGACGCTGCTTGCCGTTTGGCCTCAGCCACGATCGCTGGACCTGGCTCTTCTCCTTTCACCAGACTAACCTCCACCTCAACCTGTGTAGTTTTAAATGAAATCAAGATTTGACACCAATTACGTACTAAAAGGGGGTTTAATAAAATTCACCTCTGGTCTCCTGGCTTGACAAAAAGTTTTCATGGCACACAAAGGCGCATAATTTCCTAGGATCTTTCTTCTTCTCAGATAGATCACCTGCAGCAAATTCATACTATTATAAGTAACAACAGACAGTAGCAAATTAAACACAAACTTGAACAAGGATTGACAGACAGAATGATTAAAAAAATATCTCACCATGAGCCTGCGTTGAAGTGGGTTTTATTACAGCAACAACGACAATCGTGTCGTGATTCTGTACAGTATGAGATAGTGTCCATTGGAGCGCAGTTTTGGATTCCCTGCTGGAATTCACAACCACCATGATCCTCCTCCCACCGGTCTCTGATCCAAGGCTCCAACTCTTATCGGAGCCTGACCCGACTGCAGCAGATATTGGTTTCGGATCCATCTTTCTCGGTGACCCAACCCGAAAACAGAGTGGAAACCTGTTCAAGCAGAAGCTTGTGTTGGGCCGGCCCATAATCCCACAAGAAGTTGAACCAGAAAAAGAAAGAGTACAGCTCTTTCAGCTCTCTTATCTATGGCTGGCTCCATATTTCTGTGTATTTATTGACTTCTTCCTTATATTCTGACAAGTAATTTTTGCTAGTAGACGTGGGTTCCATCCTCAACGTGCAGGACATGATCTATGTGCTGTTGCAATCATATTGAATTAATTAAGCCCATTGCCTATAATTTTATCTTAACCACCGTTGTTCTACCTACTTAATCACAATGCATACCACACCCCTTACATCACTACTACAAACAAGGCTAGCCCCAACAGTTAAAACCGCTGGTCCTAACTATGACCCCAATGATTGGCACCATCGGGGCCAAAAAATAAACCGTTAGGGCATAGCGCGTCAGTGCTGGCTCAGACCCAATAATTTAAATATCGGCCCTAATGGTTAAAACCGTGGAGACAAGTAAATAATGAAGTTAATTATTCGAAAAAGAAATGTTAGCCCCAATGTTTATAACCGTTGGGGCCGATTATTTACACCAACGAATACAACCGTTGGTACAAGTCAATTTTCCAAAATAGAAAAATATCAACCCCAACAGTGCTAATCGTTGGGGCTGATGTATGCATCAACCGTTGGGGCTGATGTATACATCAACGGTTGTAACCATTGGTGCAAGTGATCAGCCCCAACAGTTACAACCGTGGGGCCATTTTTTTAGTACACTTTCAGTTTGTTCTTCATACCTATATACATGTCATATTCACATACAAATATATAATCACCATGTTTACAAATTCATATTCCCACGCAATTATATTTCATAAAATTCACAATTTCCACGCAATTGTACAATCAACAACACAAATTTATAATAAAATGAATTCGTAATGTAAACTAAAACACAAGAGTCACGATAACCAAATTGCAATGAATAATGTTTAAACTAATTAGTCCCAAACATAAAGAAGAATATCCAAAATATACATGTTTCTAATATCTAAAAAATATACAACAGTCACTGCTACAAATAGATACCAAAATTCTAGGCAAAATTCTTGCGAATATCCTCCTTGGCGTAGTGTTGGAATAGACTAGGAAGAGGAACCTGTGCTGAAAGGAGAACATTGAACGGTAGAAGTTGAAGCCTGAGCATCCAGAGAAGGATGAGAAGCTAGTGAAGTAGTGGTAGCTGGTGCAATAGAAGGTGGATGAGCGTTCTATGAATCCATCTGTAAAATAGTACGTGCATGAGTGTGTGTATGTGTGCGTGCGTATGCGATAAAGTGTGAATGTATGAGCATGAGAGTGTTTGTATGAATTGGCATCCTACGCAACTCTCGCCAACAAACTTTTTGAAACACTATTTTAATTTAAGATACCAAACAATTAGAGGTACATTAGTAAGAATACTACTCAAAGAGTTAATTGTTCATGCGAACTATACTGAATTATGGCCAGCCATCAAATTGATTATGGTGTATTTATTTCTTTTTATATGTGAGCCTTGTTCACCTATTATGTTAATTTTATTATCAAAGTGTGAATGTATGAGCATGAGATTTATTTGACTCTTTATTCTAAGACATGATAGCCCAACTGAAATAGAATAAGAATATCTCTAAACTGTAATAATGTATCATGTCTTTGAATAAAGAGTCAAATAAATCTCATTAAGGCATTCAGCTTCTACAAAATAAAAATACAAGTCTAGAGTCTAGAAGAAATCCCATCAACATGCGACTCTCCGTGCATTAAACTCGCCGTCTGAAAAGAGGGGAAACAATGGGCGTCAAAGTGCTAGCGAGATCATCTCTACCGCCCCAAGGGGAAGGGATAGCAGTATATAAAAAAATATTAGTTAGTACATGTAAATATAAAGTTATCAATACTACGCTAAGCGGAAATTGTTATTTAGAGATTCATAATATTAGAATGGGTACGTCGAGCGAAATAATCCAAAAAATGAAACCCTCATGTATATACCCCGTATCCCAAATTATGAATCGCTAAATATCAATCTCAACTAAGAATAAAAATACAAGTGAAATTAGTAACTAGAAATCCACAACTCGAGACCGGTACATCGAGCAATATAATCCAAACAAGAAAACCCTCATGTATATACCATATATCTCGAGCTATGAATCACTAACTACTAACTTCAAACCCATATATGAACAATCATCACGAACAGAAATATTATAGCTTCTACCCTCAATCATAATAAAACAATTTGTCACAATCTCAGACTATCCTTAGGTAGTTGGCACCATCATAAGGAAATATTAGCCAGCTTAAACATTACAAAATATCATGCCGTGTATGTCATTTATCCAATGTATACCCTACTCATGCGTAAACTAATATATATATATATATGCCTCTCTTTTTGCAATAGCGATACTCTTGTAAGGTTCTTACTCAATCGCTTTGCAGTAATAGGTTTTATCTCGCTATTCCGGCTACATGAGATAACGATACTCTTGTAAGGTTCGCACAATAACATCTGGGTTCAACTTCCTTACTCAATCGTTCTACAGTAACATGTTTTATCTTCCTATTCCAGATATGCTTCCAGATGATCGTACAACGGTGAATAGGCACATCAGCTCAACCCGGAAAATACACCGATCACCTTCGAGTATTTGGTACAACTGAGGTCTCATTACGGGAAAAGTAACTAAATACTCCTAGTATGATACAACCGAGGTCTCATTACGGAATAGACAACCACATTGAGCATCCATAACTGATGAGCAATGCTTTATCCTATGTTAATTCACTTTTATCAACTCAACGTGTGTCAAGTATCTCGACAATGCATGTCAATACATCATAAACTAAGTGTACGTGCATATATCTTGGTGTGTGTGTGCTAATATCTAGTGTTCACCAACATCCAAGGTGTTAAACAACCCATAAGGTTCATAATACAACATAACAACATCGAGAAACATCTCTCGAAAATAGAAATAGTGAAGAAAAACATGCACAGACCAAATGTGTGATGGACAGTTGACCGAATATATGCGGCGGTCGACCGCGACGTATTTCAGAAGTTGCCTAGGCCTTTTCCTGGCACGCGGTTGATCGCTGCTTAGGCACGGTCGACCAGACCGAATTCCAGAGTTCTGTGCAGGTTTTAAAATAATTGTGTTCGTGTGTGTTTTTTTTTTATGATTCAAACTTGTATGATTCGTGCTAAATCACATGTAGAACATTGTAAACATCAAATCAACTTCTCTGGGAATTATCAAACATGTGAAATATAATTAATTGCATAATGACTCATAAATAAACTCTTAAACATGCACGGAACATCGTTACGAAGAAAAATCATTAAAATTCAATAAAACCACGTTATTAATTACTCTCAGATCTTAAAACACTTCTGTAATTTCGTTCTTAAACTTTTAAACATAAAAAGATCTGATCTTTATACATATAATACAAAAGATTTGTTGTTTATATCCAAACTAATTAATTAGGCCCAAGAAATCACATTAAAAACTCACTAAAACATCTAAAAACAGGGGAGAGAGATTAGCAGAGATTAAAATCGCCTGAGACTTGAAGAAAAATGTGAAAGATAGGATTCCAAAGTAGATCTCTAAGCCACAAACCGAAAATCCTGCCTTAGAGCCCTTAATCTCTCTAAAAATTAAATTAAGATTTTTAGGAGAGTTTGGTGGCTGCTAAGATTTTTAGATTACTGAAAAATATGTAAAAACTCGTGAACAATATGTATATATATAAGGAAAAACAAATATGGGCCTCAAATACTCGAAACCAAGCCAAAACAGGAAAAATAGTTTTCAGGTTTCGCGGTCGACCGTGTTAGTCGACCGGACCGCGGCGATCGACCGGACTGGAATTTTCCAGATTCTCAGAATTTGGCCATTGTGCATGTTTTCGACTCGATTCTTTCTCATAAATGAACTTGTTTATACTCAAAACACTCGTTAGTGTACTCATACTCTATTTAATGATTTTTTCATAATAAATACCCACTTATTAATCACACATAAATTCAATTTATCAATTGTTAACTCAAATTTTCCAGGGTTTTACATACCTCTAGATCTCTTTGCTTCATTAACTATAATATAATTATTTTTCCTAACCGGTGCACTAAGAGGTCTACGTTGTACATTGTCATACCACCTTAATCTATTCTTTCTCATTTTATCCTCAATAGGAGCAATCTCTAATTTACTACGAATGTATTCATTTCTTATCCTATCTTTTAGAGTATACCCACAAAATCATCTCAACATTCTCATTTCTGCTGCACTCATTTTTTTGCACATGTTATATTTTAATTTCCCAACATTCTAGTTTGTAAAGCATTGTTGAGAGTAATGTAGGTAATATGCAAAATTAACTTTGTCGTATCGAAGTTAAATGATGCTTACATGAACTGTTAGTAATATGCAAAATTAACCTTGTGGTATTGAAGTTAAATTTCACACAAGTTTTAGAATTTTTGAAATAAAATTTTTTGAGATATCAAAGTTCAAAATAAGGTAAATTTTGGGATACTTAAGTATAAATAACCCTAATAAAAAGTAAATTTAAAATCATAAAAATACAATAAACAAATTCAATAACATCATAGAACTTGCACGATAAAAACCTAGGTTATAATAAACAAATTCAATAACATCATAGAACTTGCACGATAAAAACCTAGGTTATACTTTATTATAATTATGATTTGTATTCAAATTAAAGCTGCAATGAAATACAATAATATTTTAATATGTTTGATATACTTATTATAAGTTTTCAATAGTTGATTTATGAGAAGTGTGATCCATGAATTCAAAATATATTTCCTTGCATGTTGTACGATCTTGATATTTTTTATCCTTGGGTGATTAGTTTGTTATTTCTTCAAACATAGAAAAGTAACAATGAAAAGTAACTATATTCATATTACTAAAAATTATTTTTCAAATAATTTCATAATTTTCATATTCATAGAAAATTTCAAAGTATAAAATAAGTATGTCCACATGCATGTGCACTATACTAGTTAATTATAAATAAGATTATTCTAGGTTGATTTGAACACTACACTAGTTACCATTGAAAATCCTTCTACCCCGTTAAAAAAGTATAGTAGTGCATGCAGCTAACTTTTTTCACTTCTAGAAAATTTCGGCAACACCTCCCTATTATTCTCTCTGTACATTGTGTGGATGTTATTATGCATATTGACAATGGACTGAAACGCAAAACAACATGCATTTATTATACATGGAGAATAATGAGAAAGTGCTACCAAAAGTTTTTAGAAATGAAAACACACAAAGTATACAAAGTTAGATGACGCAATATTATATTCCTAACTTGTTTGAGAAGGGACCTCCTTCCCAAACAGATCCAATAATTATGATTTTGAATGCCAATTCTTTTTTACTTTTAATATAAAGTACATGATACTTTTTGGTTGGATACCCAATCTGAGTCATGTATCCTATATATATTAAAAGTATAAAGAGTTAAAAGTAATTTTTGGACAGGAGTCTAGGGCTAATGTTTACTTTTTTCATCTAAATTAGATTTATAAGACACTATTGTGTTATGTATCACATTAAGGGTAATTATGATTGTGTAATTAGAGTTCAAGTTAGCACTATGATGGTATTAATGTGAATTATGGTAACTAGATTAAGAGTGACTACAACTACATCAATACCATAATACATAACATCACAAATTGTACTAATTTCACAAATAACTACAAAATATAGCAAATACCAATTTTCAGAAATTACCCTAATCTAGATGCGAAAGAAACTTACAAATTATTAGTCGCCTCGCTGGAGGCAGCAACAGGTGGCCTCGCTGGAGGCGTGAAGGAGTAACAGATCAAGATTTTTTGAGTGTAGACAACCTAATAATTTTAGAAAAACCAAAAATATTAGCTAACTACACTATAATTTTAAAAATTACCCTAATTAAGGTTAGGGTTTTGATGGAATAGAGAGGACTTATAGCTATGAAGATTAGGAGAAGCAGCGGCCAAGCATAAGAGGCGGTGACGGAGGGTGCGGTGTAGGCGGCAGTGTAGCTTATAGTACAGGTGATGGGGGAGCTTCTGGTGGTGACGTTGGAAAGAGTTGATGATGGTTGGAGTTGAGGATAAACAATAGCGAGGGTTTGAGGGAAGAGGAGGAGGAATTAGGGTTAGGGTTGAGAGGGGAGAGAGGAAGAGGGCAAATCAGGACCGATTAGGTTTTGGAGGGGAGAGAGAAGGTAGCACAATTTGTAGTGAGATGAGGACACGGCAATGGCGTCTCCGATAACGAATGCATTAGGGTTTTGGGTGATTTCAAAGAAGAGAAAAGAGAGAGACAAGCATGGTTTTAGGAATTTTGAGAAGAAGGAGGCAACAAGGAATCTCAGGCGGGGTTGACATTGGTGATGGTTTCGATTGGTGATTTCGGAACGGAAATTCCCTAAAAAAAATTTTGCTATAAATTGTTAGGCACCAAAGATTAGAACCATTGGGCCTAAAAAAACTTTGCACAACAGTTCCAGCTACCCATTAGGGCTGCCCAACATTGAAGACACGTGACTCACTTTATTAGGCTTGGTTTGGAAGGGGTTTGAGGAGTGAAGGTTGTTAGCCCTTATGTTTTGATGATGTTTTACAACCACCATTATCGGTATTAATGGCTTATTGAGTACAAATGTAATAAATTCATATATCAAGCTTGTTAGTGCCACAAATGGAGGATTGGATGGAATATGCACTACAACGATGATATCCAAAGGAGGAGGAGGCATAGTGGTGAAGCAACGTTATTTCAAGAACAACAAATTCAAATAGAAGCTTCATCCAACTCAAACTATATTAAGACTCAAGAATTACATTCTATATGAGGATATTAGCTAGTTTTTTATTTTTCTCTCTAGTGCTAGAATGTAGGCAAAGAGTTATTGATTTTACTTGAAGCCATTGGGATATCACACACACGTTTTCATACTTATGTTTTTTTAAGTGTTTTTCATAAAATACTTTTTTTCACAAGTATGAGGACCTATCTACAAAATTCTTTTTTCAAACAGTTTGTTTTTAGTATTAAAAACACTTTACAAAGTTTCGTAATTTTTAGAGATCAAATAAATATTTTACAAATATTTTAAAGTGAGTCAAAAATAGTTTTTTGGAATGTATCAGAATGCGGTCGACCGCACCTGTGTTCATTCGTCAGTGGGCAGCAGAGAGTTTGTCGGTCGACCGGTGTGGTCGACCGAGAGTTCGAAATTTCCATCGGTCGACCGCACCGGTCGACCGAAGAAGTCTATGCCCAATTCTCAGTTTCGGATCTGGATCGCGGTCGACCGCAAGTTTTTTCGGTCGACCGCCAAGTTTTTCAAACGGTAATTTTTGTACTTTTACGGTGCCGCTCAATACAGATTTCAGCGACGTTTGTTTCCAGATTTTGGGGGATTAAGGGTATGGGTTTAAACAGCTGGTTTCTCCTATTTAAACTCAACCTCTTCTTCTTCCTCAGTGTCCCAGCTTTTGCAAAAACCAGAGACCTTGTTTTTACTGAGCAAAATTTTCAAACCTGTTTTTTCTGTGTTTTTTGTGTGTTCACTTCTCAGCTTCAGTGTGCTCTTTCTCTTTGCCATAGGAACGTTTTAAAGAGAGAGTCTTACACCATTTCTACTATCTTGAGAGTGTGATCTTGTATAGATCAATTGTGTGGGAGTGATCTAGTGAGATCAACTGTGTAGTGTGAGATCGTGAGGGGATCGCTGTGTAGACGAAGTTCCGGCTTCCAAACCGGGTTGTGTAGTGAATTTCTCCTCGAGAGTGGGGAGCGGGGACGTAGGTCAGCGGACCGAACCTCGTTAACACATCGCGCGTCACAGGATAATGATTCCTAACCCTTTCTCCTCTATTTTGATTGCATTAGAATATTGTGATTTGTTTGTCTTAATTTTATTGCATAATTATAGCCTCTTGACCCTAATCACTCCCCCCCTCTAGGGTCCAACAATTGGTTTCAGAGCTTGGTCTCTATATTAGTTTTTGGTTTAATCACCTTAGAGAAAAGATCTTATGGAGGCTTCAATGAATGTGCATATGTTAGAAGGACAATCCACCACTAGACCACCTCTCTTCACCGGTAGTAATTTTACTTATTGGAAGGCTAGGATGAGAATTTACCTTCGTTGCATTGATCTTGACATCCTAGAGCTCATAGAAAAGAAGTATGTAGAGAAGTCCAAAGTCGGGAACATGACCGATGGAGAAAGGCACCAAGTCAATCTCAATGCTAAGGCTATGAATGCCTTAATTTATGGTCTTTCCCCCAACGAGTATAATAGGGTTTCCACGTGTGCAACCGCATACGAAATATGGGTGAAATTGTGCATTACACACGAAGGAACCCCCCAAGTTCAATGAATTACATGGTCTTGATAAGCAATTGTCCATTCAAGAGATGAACTACAAGATAGTTTGCTCCTTGACTCCGGTATGGGAGCCCAAAGCTACGGCCATTGAGGAAGCTCATGACCTCACTACCTTAGCTCTTGATAGCCTCATCGGAAAGCTCAAGGTCCATGAGAAGAAGCTCAAGGGAAAGGAGAAGGAGGAAGTGCCCTCACGAGAAGTTGATGAGCCATCACCAAAATTGAAGACCATAGCTCTCAAAGGAGCTAGTGATTACTCCTCTCCGTCATCGGATAGTGAAGTGGATTTTTCTAGAGAAATGGCTCATCTCTCTAGAAGAATCTCTAGACTCATAAAAATGAATAAGAAATTTAACCCCTGATCTAATAACAAATTCTCTTCACGTATAGGAAAATGTTTCGAATGCAATGAACCGGGCCACATCGCTAAGGATTGCCCCAAGCTCAAGGAGAAGTACATGAAGTACAAGAAGAAGAAGGCTATGTATGCCGGTTGGGAAGAATCTGAACCAAGTGATTCGGATAGTAATGAAGAAGGAGCCAAACTTGCTCTTCATGACCCCCAACATTTGTTTTATGGCCCATGAACAAGAGGTAATATCCGAGACCGAAAGTGAATCTTTCTACATGCAATGTGACATAGCTACGGCTCTAGAAGAATTAAACTTTGAATTTAAGAGAATGTCAAAAGAATACTCTTCTTTTAAAAAATTACATGCTTCCTGTGATATTAAGCTAGAACAATTAACAACCTCTCTTGCACTAAAAGATGAATTGCTAGGAGATCTCGATTTCGAGAATAAGCAATTAAGATCAAAGATTGAAATACTAGAAATTAAGAGTGGTAGGACTAGACCCACTCATGCTTATGATAATTATAATCATCATGGTAGAAATAGATTTCATAGATCTCATGCTCATACACACAAGAGAAATTTTGTGTGCACATATTTGTATGAAACATGGACACATTTCTACTCATTGTAGGATTAAAGACAACCATGATTTTTATGGAATGATATGGGTACCCAAAGGTACCAAGACTACTAACCACCAAGGACTCAAGACTTGGGTACCTAAAATTACTACATCTTCATCTTCATCTCTTGTGGGGAACATCATGGCAACGACGTAAGGAGATGTGGTACTTTGATAGTGGTTGTTCACATCATATGACGGGCAACAAAGAGTTATTTGCAACCCTATCAAGGATTGAAGGAGGTAGCATCTCCTTCGGCGGTGGTGAGAAAGGTAAAATCATTGGTGTTGGTTCTATTGGTAAGAAACCCTCACCCGTTATAGAAGATATTTATTTGGTAAATGGTTTGAATCATAATCTTCTTAGCATTAGCCAATTAAGTGATAAAGGTTTTGATATTTTCTTTAAACCGGATAAATGCATCATTAGTATGAATGGAAAAATTGTTTTTATTGCTAATCGCAAATCTAACGTATACATTTTTGAGATGAATGAACTAGTGAATCAAGATGTGAAGTGTCTTGCGGCAATTGATGAAACCCTTGGATTTGGCACAAGAGATTTGGACATGTAAATATGGAATTGATATCAAAATTGTCTAAGAGAAATCTTGTAAAAAGGTTACCTAGCTTGCACTTCATCAAAGATACTACATGTGAGGATTGTGCCAAAGGTAAACAAACAAAATCTTCCTTCAAATCCATCAATGAGGTATCGACTTCTAAACCTTTGCAATTACTTCATCTTGATTTGTTTGGTCCTATGCGTGTTACATTTCTTGGAGGCAAACACTATGTTTTTATGATTATTGATGATTTCTCTCGTTTTACATGGACAATATTTCTTGCAAATAAAAATGATTGCTTTGAATAATTTTCTAATCATGTCAAACGAATTAAAAATAAAAAAGATTTAAAAGTTGTGAAAATTAGAAGTGATCATGGAGGTGAATTTCAAAATAATTTTTTCTATGAATTTTGTGCTCATCATGGTATAACTCACATGTTTTCCGCTCCTAGAACACCACAACAAAATGGTGTTGTTGAACGAAAAAATCGCACCATACAAGAGATGGCACGCACTATGATAAATTCTTTTGATTTGCCAAAATATTTTTGGGCGGAAGCCATCAATACGGCTTGCCATGTTTTTAAATCGTGTTTTGATTAGACCAAAGCTTAAGAAAACTCCTTATGAACTTTTTTACGGAAAAACTCCTTTTATTGGTTACTTTCGTATCTTTGGTTGCAAATGTTTTATTTTAAATACAAAAGATCACCATGATAAATTTGATTCCAAAATTGATGTTGGTATTTTCTTGGGTTATGCACCTCGAAGTAAGGCTTATAGGGTCTTCAATAAACGAAGTCTCGTTGTTGAAGAATCTATAAACGTTACTTTTGATGAGACTAATGTTGGTTCTCAAGTTGTTTTACCTAGGAAAGATGATGATGATGATGTTGAGGGAGGATTGGACTATTTACAAATGAATGATACTCCTTCTATAGAAGCACAAAAGGATGTGGATAGCTCCAATGCTCATGATCAAGTTGAACTTTCTAAAGCTTGGAAATTCGCATCAAACCATCCAAAGGAACAAATAATTGGGAGCCCTTCACAAGGAGTTATTACTCGCTTAAAAGCTTTGAGTGAGTGTGGTAATGTTGCCTTCTTATCTCAACTAGAACCTAAAAAGATTAATGATGCTTTAAATGATGAATTTTGGGTTTTGGCTATGCATGAAGAACTAAATAATTTTCAAAGAAATAATGTTTGGAAATTAGTTCCTAGACCTAACAATGCTAGTGTTATTGGTACTAAATGGGTTTTTAGAAACAAACTTGATGAACATGGCATTGTTACTAGAAATAAAGCTCGTTTGGTTGCCCAAGGATACAATCAAGAGGAGGGCATAGACTATGATGAAACCTTTGCACCGGTTGCAAGGTTGGAATCTATTAGGATGTTTTTGGCATTTGCTAGTTTCAAAAATTTTAAACTCTTTCAAATGGATGTTAAAAGTGCCTTCTTAAATGGTTT